TTATCTCTTCTATTTTTGATAGTTTTCTGAATCATTGTGTGAGCCCAGTGCTCCAGGAGTGTTTAACTGAATCTTAAGAGCTCCTGCAAACAAGCCCCTTATAACTGTGAAGGGCTGGTATCTATAGCAAACCCTGTAAAGAAAAGATCTTATCCTTTGTGAATAGGAAATATAACTTTATACTTGAAGATTATCTCAACAATTATAAATACTGAAATAATCATCTGAAGATTTATATACTGTCTATATCCGTCAGACTTCTAGATACTGAAAACTTCCACAGTTTTCTGGATTACCCTGTTCATTTTTCTCATAAAACTTTTGCATAAAATTATAGGTCTACCTGATGTTATACACCCAATGTCGTGACCAGGGAATATTTATTACAACCATGAATTATGGTATAGCAGCAATGTGGGTTCTTTATGAACTTAAACACAAACAATTCAAAAACAAAATATGCAAAGAACACTTTTCATCATCATTAAATGTCATGAAATAATTTTTCCAGTTTGTTATAACTGCTTATGAAATTTAAAAAGGAACAAAAACGAAACAAAACAAAAAAAAACACCATTGAATTCTTTGGTGTGAGATATATTCTATAATACTCTCAAACTAGATTTTTTATAAAACCATGCCTGAGGGGCAGCCTGGGTGGCTGAGTGGTTTAGCACTGCCTTCGGCCTAGGGAGTGATCCTGGAGACCTGGGATAGAGTCCCACGTCGGGCTCCCTGCATGGATCCTGCTTCTCCCTCTGTCTGTGTCTCTGCTTCTCTCTCTCTGTGTCTCTCATGAATAAATAAATAAAATCTTAAAAAAAAAAAAACCCTGCCTGAACAGCAATAATTGGCTAAAAATATCCAATTATACTGATTTATTTCCTGTATATCAGACTATGTCACATATTCTTAACAACAGTTAAAGCATTTTATTGCTTTTTAAAAATTACAGTATGTTTTAAAATTCTATTCAAAATGCAGATGTTCCTGGCATTAGAGAATTGAGGAAATACTAATTCAAAGACAAGAATTTTCCATTTAGTTCAAAGTTGCCCTTTAGCTTTTATCCTACAATTATTTTATCTGTGATTTTAAAAAATATAAGAAAAGAAGTACCAAAACAACAGTGTTCTTATGAGACATTTTTGCCTGTAATTTTTCAATGTCCCATGGAAACACTGCTTCCTATAGATTTTATTTCAATGAAAATCATTTTTTCTGGATGCTTTTAGATTTGTATGCTTTGAAGTCTGTGGAAGTAGAAATATTTCTATTTTTCTATAGCCTTGGTAAAATGAAAAGTATGATAGAGCTTTGAGGCACCATTCATATCCAAATCCAGTTCAGTTACTTGAAATGACAGTAAACTCTCCTTCATCTTTCCTGTTTTCCTCTTCTTCTTATATTTTAGTCTCTCTCAAAGGAAGCCCATATTATAACTTCATTTCAGCTAATCCAAAAATGCTGCATTATCAAAATGTTCCACTTCAGCTAAATAACCCACAAGCCTAGCTTTGAGCCTTCAAGAAAAACCAAGGTGGCATGTCCTCAGGTAAAAGGAGAAATAGCCATAAGATGTTCTTCTCAAACCATCCATTACCATTAAATTTGGTTCTCAGAGAATGCTCAGGATTAAATGGCAAACACTAGAAGAGATTCTACGAGTTAAACTGAACAAACTCTGTGTGTACATTATATGCAAACATTTTCCCCCTATTTTAAGACGAACTTCCATTCTTCCCAAAATAAAAGATGCTATTATTTATCAAGCCGTGTAGTATGAATTCTGCACAAATTACTCTGGAACTACACTCTGTGATTCTCAACCTTCACTTTTCACATTCATTTAGGAACTTTTAATTTTTAAAGAAAGAAATTTATTTGAGAGAGAGAGTGGGGGTTAGGTGCAGAGGGGGAGGAAGAGAGACACATGAGCAGACTCTGTGCCAAGTGCAAAGCCCCATTTTGGCTTGATCTCATGACCTTGATGTCATGACCCTGAGATCATGACCTGAGCCAAAATCAAGAGTCAGTGCTTAACTGACTGTGCCATCCAGGCACTCTTATTTAGGAGCTTTTAAAATTAGCAGAAGTCTTGATTTCATCCAGAGATTCATTCTCATTGGTTTGGGGTACAATCTGAGTATGGTTATTTTTTTTCAAAGTTCAGGGGATGTATGTCATTTACAGCCAGGATTAAGAACCAGTGACCCTGGGTAAAAATTACTTTGTTACATAGCATTTAATTCACTTCTTGAAATTCACCCAACCCCAATATATGTTGTGTATGTCACACTTAACCAAATATTTTCTACTGGAAAATTGATATCTCTAAAAAATATTAAAGCATTATTTGTTCAATTTTGTTTGAAAATTATGTCATGAAAACAATATTTCATAATAATTCTTCCATTATGTCAGTGGAAGATCATGACTTCCTTCTGAAACCAGAAATATGGTCCTTAGTGATAAGTGAGAACTGATTAAGTATGCACAAATATGCAAAGAATCACTGTATGTTAATTATAATTATGACATAGATCTCTGTATATTGATATTCATGAAATAATAGTAACTATAATACAGAGATTCAGATTACAGAATATTACATCAAAATGCTAATTTTTTATGCAAATGATATCTTTGGTTATTTTTTTTTGTTCCATGTTTGATGTTTAAAATATATTAAAGTACTTCTAACAAAAGAAAAAAAAAGCAAGTAAGAAAACTCACAATTTGGGGTAAAAGAGAAAGAACAAGAGAAACAAAAAGAAAAGTGAGCAAAAACTTGTGTGGATTACTTTGGGAACATCAAGATTATAGCAGGTCTTGAAAGATGACTTTGTAAAAGCCTTGAGAAAAAATCAATTTCAATTTCCTCAGTGTGTTTGTAGCAAGCTGTACGATTCCCTCGTCAACAATAACACTGATAAAACCTTTTGAGAGTGTTAGAACTCTTAGAAGAAATGTGTATTATTGTTAGGTGTCTACAGTTTTTATAGTTTCATTATTTACAAAAGGAGATTCATAAATGATAGATTAGTTTACACAGTCTAGCCCTGCAAATGAAAAGTGGTGTAAAAATGTTTCTTGTTTAAGGATGTAAGAGCTCATCATATTGTAGGTTTTTTTAAACTAGACCATTCTTCCTAATATTTCTATGGCATTCTTTCATCAATATAATTAGTATTTATTGAATATCAGCTAACTATCAATCTAAAAGTATGTTAACTACCTAAAATAAAAATAAAAATAAATCAATAAAAACAGATTGCAATTTGTATATCACCTCCCCCCCACACACACAAAAAAACATTTTAACAAATATAATTTAATTTTCTAACACTTAGAGAAAGGAGTGGGCAAATATCTATTTATTTATATAAATCCTGTCTTGTTTTAATATTACATTTATTATGAAAAGAGGTGAAAGACATATATTATCTTGGATGTACAACCCATATACTGCAGCTCCCTTGGAGACCTGTGCGCAGGTGGACACGGCTGTCCCTCCTTCTCTGCACACTGACTTTCCTGGAAATGTAGAGCAGGCCTTGATCTTTATGGAATACAGATCCAAGAATCCTGTATCCACAGAAGAAAGGATGTCTCTTCTTTGCCAAGAAGACTAATTCTAATATAAAATAGCAAATTCAGGGATCCCTGGGTGGCGCAGCGGTTTGGCGCCTGCCTTTGGCCCAGAGCACGATCCTGGAGACTCGGGATCGAATCCCACATCGGGCTCCCGATGCATGGAGCCTGCTTCTCCCTCTGCCTGTGTCTCTGCCTCTCTCTCTCTGTGACTATCATAAATAAATAAATAAATACAAATAAAAAAAAAGAAATTTTAAAAAAAATAGCAAATTCATAGTTCTGATTTTAAAATTGTTACAACTGCTCAAAGATGATCTCTATGAAAGCAGAAATATTGCCCATCTTATTTACTATACTATTCACTATATCACATCTAGCGGTAAAGTCCTTCAACAAATGTTTGTTGTTAAATAAGTGTATGAATAGAGTTTATAATTAGGAGATATACTACATATCCCTACCAGATAAACTTTATCAATAATTGTTTAAAAGTGGTAAACATGTGTATCTATGTATTCATAACATAAGACTGTGTACTATAGTGAGAGGTGAGAAATGAGATGACATAAGCCTTTAATAGGAGGTAATCATTAAATGTTAGTTTGTTTCCCCCTTTCTACTATATTACACTGCCTCTGATTTTAAAATCACTAAATATATTTACAACTCGCATTAAAATAAACTATCCTATATACTCTAGGTTTCATGAAGGTTGGGGCAATATCCATTTTGATCATTTTGTTTTGTTTTATTTCTCCAAGTCTTACCATGATATGCAATAAATATTTGCCAAATAAATAAATAAAATATGAACAAATGAATGAACAAATATCCCCGAGGTTATTGGACGATGTTATTGGAGAGTAATAAATAAATAAATAAATAATAAAAAATAGAAGTTACAATGTATGCTTATATCATTATCCCATTTTATCCTGCAGAAATGAAAGGATACTTTGCAATAATTTTTCTTTCAAAGCTATTACATGCGATCCTCTAATCAAGTCATTTTTAAATCATATTTTAATTTCTATAGGGCTCTACCTAAAATACAAAGGGGATACAAAGCTGTGATGAGCAAGTCTCTGGAAGTTTGGAATGCATTATAACAAAGACAGCACACCCACGCACACACACACACAATCTAAGGTAAAGAAGATAAAACTTTATAATGATACTGACAAAAAGAACTTTCCAATTAGGAGGAGTCTTTGAAGAGATTTGAACCAGATCATGTAGATCCTGCAAATTTCAACAGTTAGAGATTGCACAGGGGAGGGAGAATATTCTCGTAGCATGGCCATGCAAAGTAACGTAGGGTCTGATGAATAGACTAGTTGGACTGATGCAAAGAATTCACATAAGAGAGCTATGAAAGAAAAAGCTGGACAAGTTCAAATAAAATAACCAATGGCGATCCTTGGTTACCCATTCAAGGAGACAAATTTTATTCATTGAAAGATGAAGAAACATGTTTGACAGGTTGAGGTTGGGCTGCCTCTACTGACCTGGCCATTTTGTACCTTCTCTGTCCTTATCTCCTATCAACCATCACCTGGCTTGCTCTACTCCAGCCATAATGACTTTCTTGCTCTTTGTCAAATACATCAAGACTTACCTGCCACAGGGCCTTTGTACTTGCTGCTTAGTGCATCATTACTGCCATGCTTTTCCTCCAGATCTTTGTTTAGCTGGGTCCCTCATTTCATTCTTGCACAGTTCAGCATATTCCTCAAACAGGGATTCTATCATTCTATACTTTTGTACTCTGCTTTGGTGGTCTTCATAGCATTGCCTAACATCTCTTTCTCACCCAGGGACACATACATTTTTTTTGTTGTTTTTATTTCTTGGTCATTTGTCTCCTGTATAAGAAGTTGAAAAATAAACAATGCAGCATGGGTACTCCACCTCTGTCATGTTTATTCCAGAGCTTAGAACATGGGTAGAACAATAGGAATATTCATGAAGTATTCATTAAATGAGTTAATAGCACCTTAATAGATTAATTAACAAATAGCTAAAGAAGAATTTCAGGAAGATTGGCATACAGTATGGGAATCTATGACAACAATCCAAATAAGAGGTAATAGATTAGCTTGAAATGATTACCCATGGAGATTAAAAAAAAAATGGAAAAGCTTGATTTGCCTCACTAGGCTCAGAGTCCTTATCTGTAAAACAAAGATTGTTTAACTAGAATTATGATTTCTCATTCTTTTCCAAAATGTGACTGCAAAATATGGAAGTATCATCAGGAAACGTTGATTTCAGAAATGGGGGATGGGAAAAGTTAAAGATGCCTCAAAATTCTACAATAGTGGCTTGGAAAATGTTGATACTTGTCCACAGCTAGTGGTAGAGAGACGAAGAGGAGCCAGGGAGGGACATAATGAAGAAGGTTCATAGAGAAAGAGGCAGAAAAGCCACATTGTGGACCAGGTATAAGAAAAGGAGCCATTTCAAGGGAGAAAGGTGGTGGATAGAGTGACACTGGGGAGGACGGGGCCTGGGATGGTGCCAGGGAAGATTCCCTTTAAGAGGTCCTGGATGCCTTCCTTTGGAAAGAGACATCCAACTGAAAAATATAGACCCACAATTCTTAATAATAGAAAACATAGTTGGACGCCTGGGAGTCTCAGTGTTTAAGCATCTGCCTTCGGCTCAGGTAGTTGGGATCCTGGGATCGATTCCTTCATCAGGCTTCCCGCAGGGAGTCTGCTTCTCTCTCTGCCTCTCTCTGTGTCTCAAATAAATAACATCTAAAAACAAACAAAAAAACAAACAAACAGTTGTGTTCGGTGAAATGAATCTCAAATAGTCCCAGCTTTGAATATCCACCTTATCCTGCATTCAGTTCACGCAAAGCTTTCCTCCTTCTAAGCTCATTGTCCTACCTTAGAAGTTATCACCTAATAAAACCCCTCATTAGAATTATGAGTATTCTAACCATGCATGACTTCTATCTTGCCCATCTCCAATCCATTCTCTAGAAAACTGCCAGAGAGATCTTTTTACATTTTTCCTTGAATCATATCATATCACCTGCTCAGAAGCCAGCTACGGTTTCTCACTCACCTGTAAAATAAGAGATTCCTTGATCTGACCATGTCCCTCTCTAGCATGTTTTGTTCCATTCTCCCACACTCCCATACCCCCTACTTCCCATCACCCCATTCCTACAGCTCTAGCAACACTTCCCTGTTTTATTTGCTGCATAAAAGTTACCACAAATGTAGAGGCTTGCAACCACACACGCATATATTGTCTCAAAATTCCTGTGGGCCAGGACTATAATCGTTCCTTAAGTGGGCTCCCTGACTTCAGGTCTCACCAGGCCACAGTCAAGGGGTCAGCCAGGCTACATTTTTATCTATAGCATCAACTGGGAAAGAAACAATTTCCAATCTCATTTGTGCTGTTGGCAAAATCTATTTCCTTGCATCTAAGTAAGATCCCTATTTTCTTGCTGGTTTTGGTATGAGAAATATTCTCAATTCTTAGAGGCCACCTCCAATTCTGTGCCACAAAGGCTCTCTCCAGAGGCTTTCTCGCAACATGCTGGTTTGCTTCCTCAAAGACAGCAACACAGAGAGAATCTCTGTCCTATAGAGTCCCCAGGCCCTCTGTTATGAGTTTTTATCTAATTAAGTCAGGCCCATTTCAGGATAATTTCACTTTGATTAACTCAAATTAACTAATTTGGGACTTCAACTGCATCTAGAAATCTCTTCACCTTTGTCATATTCTGTTGGCTGAAAGTAAGCTATAGGTCTCCCTCACACTCAGGGAGAGGAGACTGCACAGGGCAGAAATATCAGGGTGGGGACTCAGCGTTCTGAGTCACCAGAGCCTTCCTCAGTACAATCTTTCCTAAGGTAGGAATTGTCTACACTGTTGCCTCGGCCTATTAGATTCTTCCTTTCACTCTTCACCTTAATTAATTCCTAAACAGTTTTCAGAACTCAGTTTGCATATTATTTCATCATTTTCCTTCCTGGACTATCCTGTAAATACCATATGCTACTTATTTATTTATTTTTTTTACCATGGTATATATTACAAAAGCTTCACTGAGATGAAATTCACACATTATACAGTTCACCTATTTAAAGTATGCAATGGCACAGATTTTAGTACATTAACAGAGTTGTGTGATCATCATCTAATTTTAGGGTATTTTCATTACCCCGAAGGGAAATTCTGTACCCATCAGCAGCCATTACCAACCCTTATCCCCAACAGCTTTAGCCAAACACAAATCCACTTTCTGTCTCTATACATTTGCCCACTCTGCACACTCCATACAAGTTGAATCATACAGTATGTGGTCTTCATAATTGCCTCCTTTTTTTTTTCTAAAGATCTATTTATTTATTCATGAGAGGCACAGACTGCAGAGACATAGGCAGAGGGAGAAGTAGGCTCCTCGCAGGGAGCAGGATGTGGGACTCGATCCCGGATCACCGGATCACGAACTGAGCTGAAGGAAGGCACCCAACTGCTGAGCCACCCAGGCATCCAGATAATTGGCTTTTTTCCCTTATCATAATGTTTTCAAGGTTCATTCATGTTGTAGCATGTTATCACTACGTCATTCTCACCTACCACATTCAATTTAAGTAACTTTTAATCATATAGCTATACCACATTTCGTTTATTTATCCAGCAGTTGTAGACTTTTGGGTTGTTTCCAGCTTGAGGTTACTATGACTAATGCCGTTGTGAATGTTCATGCACAAGTTTTTGTCTGAACATATGTTTTTAATTCTCTTGGGATACATCCCTAGGAGTGGAATGACTGAGTCATAAAGCAATTCTATTTTGAGAAACTGTCAAACCATTTTTCAAAGTGGCTATACTATTTCGCTCTGCAACTAGCCATGTATGGAGGGTTTCAACTTCTCCACCTGCTTGTCAACACTCCTTACTGTTCTTTTCCTTGGGAGGGGTTGGGGAAGGGAGCAGTCTACAGGTGAATTTTACCAAATATTTAAAAATTTTAGAAAAAATCATTTGACATAAACTTTCAGAAAATTGAGGAAGGAATACTTAATATATTTATGGGGCCCAAATTACCGATACCTAAATCAACTACGTATTAGACAAAAAAAATTATAGAACAATATTCTTTATGAAAATGGATGCAAAACTAATAATAAAATATCAAATCAAATTCAACAATATATAAAGAATAGTGCATCATGACCAAATGGGGCTTACTGCAGAAATATACAGGTAGTTTAACATTTTTGTGAAAACAAATGCAATTTGGTACATTAATAAGTAAAATAGAAAAATTATATCTTTTCTAGAGACACAGGTAAAGACATTGTTAAAATTGAACCCCCATTCATGATAAAACTCTCAGCAAACTAAGAACAGAAGGAGACTTCTATCTGGTAAAGGACAGTATAAAATACAGTAATATTGTCCTTGAGCATGAGACACTGAACCCAATCCTGCTAAGATTGAGAACTGGACAAGAATATCCTTTCACTATTTTTATTCAACATTATACTGGAAGTTCTAGGCTCTAGGCTCATCCTTAGAAAAGAAAAGTAAGTAAGAAACATATATATATGGAAAGGAAGAAGGAAAATCATCTTTACCCCCAGGCAACATGTCTGTATATTTCAAAGTTCCCACATCCTGCCAACTACTAGGGCTAATAAAGTGAATTTAGCAAGATCACAATATACTGTCAGGAGATAATTCTTGCTGGGTCTCTCATGTTTCTGCCTGACTGTCACAGGGCATGTGGAGGGTGTCTGATTGATGACTCATACTCTGGGTATTTGTGTTGGCCTCAGGAGGCTGGCTGGAACTTCTGTCTCTGTTTCTACTCATCTGTCTCCAGCGTAATATCCTTACGACCAGTGAAATCATCCTTGATCATCAGGGCTCAGACCTCTCTGCCACCTCCCCTTCTCACTAAGCTCGCCTTTCATCTTTTTTATAACAGCTCCCCCGGTGAGTGTAATGTGGCATCTCACTATTGCTTTGACTGGCATTTCCCTACTGACTAATGACACATCTTATCAAGTACTTATTGGTCATTTGGTATATATTTTTGGGATAAGAGTCTATTCAAATTCTTTGCTTACCTTTTTTTTAAGATTTTATTTATTTATTAGAGACAGAGAGAGAGAGAGAGAGAGAGAGAGAGAGAGAGAGGAAGAGACACAGGCAGAGGGAGAAGCAGGCTCCATGCAGGGAGCCTGATGTGGGACTAGATCCCAGGTCTCCAGGATCATGCCCCGGGCTGAAGGCGGCGCTAAACCGCTGAGCCACCGGACTGCCCATTTGCTTACTTTTAAATTGGACTACATGCCCGTACATTATTGAGTTGTCAGAGTTTGTTTTGTTTTGTTTTGTTTTGTTTTTTGTTTGCATATAGCCTGGCTACAAGTGTCTTATCAGACATGATTTATAAATATCTCCTCCCATTCTATAGGCTGTCTGTCTCTTCATTTCTTGTGGGTATCATTTGTAGCACAAAAGTGTTTTACTTTGAAGAAGTCCAGTTATCTATTTCTTCTTTCAGGTCTTGTGCTTTTGGTGTGTTATCAAAAAAACCATTGCCTACCTGAAGGTTGCTAGGGCTTATTCCTGTTTTCTTCTAAGAGCTTTCTAGATTAGCTCTTACATTTAGGTCAATGATCCATTTTGAGCCCATTTTTGTAAATGGTGTGAGGAAGAGCTCCAATCTCACTCTTTTGCATGTGGACATTCCATTGTTCCCGCGAGTACCATTTGTTAAAAAGACTATTCTTTGCCCTTTGAATTGTCTCAGCACTTTTGCTGAAAATAAATTAACCATGATATAAGAGTTTACTTCTGGACTCTAATTCTGTTCCATTAAGCTCTATGTCTATTCTAGGGCCATACCATCCTGATGGCTATAGCTTTGTAATAAGTTTTAAAACCAGGAAGTATGAGTCCTTCAACTTTGTTCTTTTTCAAGATCGTTTTTGCCATTCTCAGTCTATATCCATTACTTTAAGGCTTTGAGAACACACCCTCCCAGCTTATATGGTTCCAGACTGAAAGGTCTTTTTTTAGTCCTTCCTCAAATGCCAGACCATTCATCCCTTTGTTTGGAAACATGTTGCATGCCTCCCCAAATTATCACTGACAGTAATCAACAGTGAGCACAGAAAGCGGCTGGAAATCAGGGACAGGATGGAAAACAAGGGCCTGTTAAGAGAAAATGACAGATTTAGGTCACCAGAAAGTCTTTGAATAGGATGTTGTGGGAACAAAGTGACTGTCACAGTGAAAAATTAGATCATAAATCTTAGAATAAATTCTTAAAACAGTTTCCTTGTGTTTTTCTTTTCCTCATGTGGACTGGGTAGATTGTGTTGACTAAGTTAGTTCATTTTCTCAGACTCCTGCAAAATGAAATAAATCTGTGCTGTTTCTCATGTTCTCTTTGCAGATCCTGCCTTTTGGCCTTTTGTTGCTAAATGTTCATGAGATTTTTCATACCAGTTGGAAATTAAACTGTCCATGCTTTAATCATGCTCAAAAGAAAAAAACAAGTTAGTTTGGAGACACACATATCTAGAGTTGCAGTAAAGTTACCCACATATGAAGCTTTTGAGATCACATGTCTATGTGCCAACTCTTTACATAGTCACATCAGACCCTTTCAGATGGCCAGAGAAAGTGACTGCTTTCATTTCACAGAAGCAGAAACTGAAGGTCCAAGAGATAAATGGACTTGCCTACATAAATGAGGATGATAGGGACAGAG